AATAGCAAATATTTACCCCCCTAGGAAAAATAACTCGTTACATCCCCCACTTACATCGGGATGAAAAAAAAGAAAACGGCCAAAAAGAAAAAAAATCTTTGAACTCCGGCCAAAACAAAATACTCCGGCTCTTAACCCAATGATTCCTCTTTTACCACGGGTCTCAAAGCAAAACAAAGAAAAACTCTTCTACTCGCCACTACCAGCCAACGTGGTGCTGAATGATTTGGCATCAGGAACCAGACGGGGATTTCCATGGCAAGGGCCTTCGGGGTCTTCGTCACCAATTTTGACACTGTCCATGCGGCCACCTTGGCCAGAACAGTCATCACCCACGCCCATTCTTACTACCTCTGTCCCACACGTCACCAATCCGAGGTCTCGGATGACATCCATACCCAGAATCATGTCCGTGGTGAGAGTGGGGACATACAAGGCATCCCCTATCCACCGTCTTCCCGCAGCTTCTCCTGCTAGCCGAAACGAATACTCGGCCCTCGACCGTGACCCATCTGCCATCCTTAGAGGAGCGGGTTTCTTAACAGGCTCTACCCCCTGGCGTTGAAGATGGTTGGCGACTCCTCGCCCAACCAAGCTAACTACGGAGCCAGTGTCCAATAATGCCTTAAAAACGCTGCCCATCAGCACAACTTCCACAAAGGGCCTTGACTCCGACATCAGCTGGTCCTCCTCCACTCCACCAACCAAGCTGTTCAGTATTCCGAGCCACTCGGACCACTCTTCTGAGGTCGTTCGTTTCGGGTGGCCTCGCTCAGTTGACCTCCTGATGTCTGAGCTGGCCTGCCGTTTCCCGCACGACATCCACACTGGTTCACAGTAAAACCAGGTTTCCCACATCCAAAACAGGAGACGGTCCTCAGTTTGCCACAACCTCTGGCAAAGTGACCAATCTCCTGGCACCTAAAACAACGTACATCCTTTGCACCATCTGCAACTTCCCTAGTCATTACGGGCCTTTGTTCACGGACCCGGTTAGAGTCAAAATCTACTCGCTGCCCAATCGACTTGGCCTCAAGGGATGGTCTCTGAAAATTATGTCTTTCGACCGCGGCCGTTTCAAAACACTTCTCAGCCTTCTTCTTGGGAACATAGGCGGTTTCCAAAACCAGCGCTACGTTTGGTGAAGGAGGAGGTCGGAAGGCGGCCTTCTCTCGCAAATAGGCCTCGTAGTCTTCGGCCAACTCAACCATCTCGGCCAGATTGCGGAAGTCCCGCCGTCGCACCATGAGTTTGTACTCTGGTCGCATGTTGTTGTAGATCAAGTCCAATCTACCATGCTCGGACAACGTACCGCTACGCCTAAGCAAGGTACTTATAGCAACCACGTAGTCCCGGAAGTGCTCGCCTTCACCCTGTGTCCTTTTCCGGATCTCCTCATCCAAATTCCTCTGATAACCAGGTGGAAGGAACTGGATCTCAAATTGATGCCGAAAAGCTTCAAATGAATACAGGAGCTCCTTGCAATTCCTGTACCATAGAAGCGCTGAGCCTTGCAACAGCTCCGGCAGCGCTCTGAGCAGGTCCTCTGATGTTATAGAGTACGAGACCATCAGCTCTTCAAGGCGCTCCAGGAACGACACAGGGTCTCGTCGGCCATCAAACCTTAAACCCCACTTCCGTACCGTGTTGCATACTTTGGAGCAATCCTTTGGCTCCACCCTGCTGGCCTCATTTGAGAGCATATCCGAGCCTCGTGGCAGCTCCAAGCTAGAAGGCCGGGCTGGTCTCTCAGAAATATCATTGGGCCGCTGCCATCCCTCGGGTCTACTAGGTAACCCAAAGGTAGGCATTGGAGCAGCCACCACAGGGGACGTAGGGTTGGCGGGTCTTTCGAACCCATAGCCGACCCCATTACTCGGCGAGCCTCTCGCCTGTCGCACCACCGATGCCAGATGTTCTCTAAGAGTCCGGGTATCAGTCTCCAAAGACAACCCAAGGATCTCTTTAACCACCTCTAACTCCCTGCTAAGTCCCACTATCTCTGCTTGATTCGATTCCGCATTACCCAGTACCTGAGGTACGGTTCTCAGGGGGTCAGGAAGCTCCACAGTTGTAGTAGCGGGCGGTAAATATGTCGGTGCAGCAGCCCCAGCTGTACACAGCCTATCATCGCTGTACCGACGGGCATTCCGCTGCTTCCAAAACGACGAGAATCGCTGCCGTAATTCCGCAGAAGTACCAGTGGTCACCAAACCATACTGGTCCATCGTCCTCATGAGCTCCCCTTTCGAGAGGTCATAGATCCATCCCACGCGAACGTCCCGGGGCTGCGACCCCAAGGACAAAGTCGCTGGCGCGGAATAGGTCAACGAAGTTGTCACCGTCGTAGCCACTACCGAAGAAATTGTCGGCCAAACGGGCGAAGACGCCGGCCACAATGACGATGTCGTCATCACCGACAGTTCGGAGCTAACCCCAGAACTCGTCGTAGCAATAGCAGACGTAATAGGCGTACCGCCCAGCACAGACGTCGTACTCGTAGTCACAACCATATTTAAAATTCAAAACACCACGACAAATCCGCAAAAATAAGGGCGTAACCAATTAAAATATATTTAACACCGTTATAATAAATCAAACCGATTATAGGTGTGAAAGTCAAACCACAAATACACAATAAGGGTTCTCACTCAAATAATATTCGATGATAAAGCTCAATTAATTAGCAAAATAATAAATCAAACCAATTATGGGTGTGAAAGTCAAACCACAAATACACAATAAGGGTTCTCACTCAAATAATATTCGATGATAAAGCTCAATTAATTAGCAAAATAATAAATCAAACCAATTATGGGTGTGAAAGTCAAACCACAAATACACAATAAGGGTTCTCACTCGAATAATATCCAATGATAAGGCTCAATTAATTAGCAAAATTAAAATTACTAACTAATATCTATGTATACAACCACTAAATAAATTAGGGTTCACAACACACCACGCTGTAAAAGAAAACAGGTTAGGCCTACCCAACCGACTATAAAATCACAGCAGGTCTGCCTAAAACTCTGCTCAACAGCTCAGGTCCGCAGCCAATCTGCACAAGTCCGCAGCAAATCTGCACAAATAAAATTATTTTGTTCGGGCGCCGTTAATACGTCAGCAACTCAGCACCACTGCCAACCTCAGTCCCTGTTCGGGCGCCATCTTGCGACGCAATGTTCTGCACTGGAAAAATAAATATTAAAAGTGCAGCAGTCAGCAGTCGTTTGCCGGGGATAGCTCAGCCTACGATGGCTGGGTAAAATTCCAGGGTCTGCGATAAGGTCAGGGAAACCACTAGGCCAAAAGCCGGGTCTAACCGGTATAGGACTGGCTCATACACGGGCACTGTGAACAAGTCAAAAACAAGTCACCAAAACAAACGTGCAATAATCACTACCAGGCCTACGCCGATTCTCCACACTCCTAGGGGGTCGTTGCTGACTACGCAACTCGGGCTTCGTCCTAACTATCCAATAGTTATGCCCAGAGTAGTAGGCTACCCAGCTCTTGCGGGGACCAATCAGAGAGCAGCATTTCATCCCCACCCCTCCCCCTAGGCCACGCCCCCTTTTGCCCCACGTGGTCTAACCTCTGGTGTCCCACGTGGTCTAACCTCACTTTTGTTTTCGCGCCAAACATCTAACCTCACTTTACGTATTGCATACGTAGGTTCCCTCCAAACGAAAAAAACTTCACCTTCCCGCCAAGTAACATAACCTCACTTTCGTGCCAAACGAAAAAAACTTCACCTTCCCGCCAAGTAACATAACCTCACATTTATTTTCGCGCCAAACGAAAAAAATCACCTTCCCGCCAAGTAACATAACCTCACTTTTGTTTTCGCGCCAAACGAAAAAAAATCACCTTCCCGCCAAGTAACATAACCTCACTTTTGTTTTTGCGCCAAACGAAAAAAAAATCACCTTCCCGCCAAGTAACATAACCTCACTTTCGCGCCAAACGAAAAAAATCACCTTCCCGCCAAGTGACTTTCGCGCTAAACGAAAAAAACCTTACTTCTTCTCCGCCGATTCCCGCCAAACAACGTAACCTCACCTTCCCACCAAGCTTCACTTTACGTATTGCGTAGGTTCCCGCCAGCTTATGTAACCTCCGTAATGATCAACTCTTGTTAAATGAAATAGCCTCCACTGAGTTATATGTCCTGAATAATTACACAGATTGTTTGATTTAAAATATGTTTTAATGCCGCTACATCTACGATTTATATTTACATACGTTTAAACATATTTACAAATACTACAAATCTTCTTCTTCTTCTTCATCGTCACGGTTCTGTAACAAAACAAGGAAGTATTAAAGGTGTGTATCCTGGTTGCTGATTGGTTGTAATAAGCTTGTACCTGATTGGTCATAAATAGGGGATCTGTTGTGTGATTGGCCAATTTTAGCTATTTAAACTTTTCAGTACTTATTTTCTTTCACTTTGCTCTTGGCAATTGAACGTGTTGGACGTGTGCTCTTGTGTTTGATGTTTTGAGGTTATGTTTGCAAGTTATTTCTAGTGTTAAATGTTAGTCTGATTATTTATGGTACATCAGTGGTAAGTGAACTTTGTTTCTTTAGTGTAACGTATTGCGCAATCGGTGTGCTATATTTAGCTTTGTGTGCGCGCAGCTTTGTCCCCACCACATCTTGTGTCTCTGTGTTGTAGTGTGCAATCGGTGTGCTATATTTAGCTGTGTGCGCGCGCAGACTGTGCCCCCTCTAGATCTTGGGTCTCCGCGTCCCTTTTACTTTGCTCTAGGCGTTTGACGACGATGGATGTTAGTATGGCTGATAACGTATCTGATGAAGTAGTTGAACCCGTAAAAGTAGTTGAGCCTGTTAATTTGATTAGTACTGATCAAACTTATGTAAATAAATTTAGATTGTATGGGAGTAAAACTGTATTTAAATTCACCAATCCGCCTCCAGAGACTAATGAGATTGATTGGTTGAGACAGGGGTTTGCACAAATTGTAAATAGTATGAAAGAACAAGCTTTTGAAAATGATCAACTTGGGTTTACTTTGGAGAGTCTCAACTTGAAATCAAAAGCACCAGGCTATGTAAATTTTCGTCCGGCTACTGAAATTGATGAAAACGTTTTGTGGCAAATCTTTGGCGGTATTGTGCAATCAAACTCTGAATCCATCAAATCTACCGACACCTTTAAAGTGGAATGCACTAGAATTAACCTTCCTGTAGGTTCTGGAAGGGTAAGACCAGGGTTTTACAATACGTTTGACGAGGAATGCAAGGCAAGACGGGGAATTGTTGTCATTAATAATAAAGATAAATTGTGTCTTCCCCGTGCAATTGTAGTGGCTATGGCCAATGTAACCAAAGACCCCCTTTACAACGCAGTAAGGAAAGATGATGGAAAAAGACAGACTGTTAGGGCTCAAGAACTTGTGTGTCGAGCTAGGGTTGAAATGCCAGAAGGTGGAGCTGGCATCCCAGAACTTGAAAAATTTCAAGGGTTTTTGAGGGACTACAAAATTGTTGTTTATAACTATGACAGGAAAGGACGTGATGTCTACTTTGAGGGAAATGTAGAGAACCCAAAGTTCAAAATTAACTTGTTGTTTCACAATGGACACTACAATGTGATTAATTGCTTGACTGCTGCTTTTGTTTGTAATTATTTCTGTGAAGCCTGTCATGTACCCTACGACCATAAAAGAGAGCATCGTTGCTCAAACATTTGCCCACAGTGTCAAACTATCTCACCTCCCTGTGTAGTGGAGAGTGGTGGTGTTCTGTGCCCTAAATGTAACATGACTTATAAAAATCAGAGATGTTTTATCGCGCATCAAGCTGATAGATGTAAAAATGTAAAGAAATGTCTAGACTGTGGGAAATTGGTTTGGATTAGAGATCGATCTAAGCCTCATAAATGTGGTGAAGTATATTGCAAACCTTGCAGTTCATTTGAAGAACCTAACCACAAATGCTATATGAAACCAGACACAAGAAAGCCTAAATCCAAAGACTTTTTGTTTATTTTCTTTGACTTAGAAACCCGTCAAGACGAGTCCCTGCCCTCAGATCCTGAGTCTAAATTGCATCAAGTGAACTTGTGTGTGTCACAACAGTTTTGCTATCAGTGTATTGAGGCTAAATTTTGTATGGCTTGTAAAAATCGTACACGAGTGTTTAGTTCTGAACCAGTCACTCAGTTCATGGACTATGTGATGCAAGTCCGTAGAAATTTTAAAGATGTCTGTGTCATTGCACACAATGGGCAGGGCTTTGATTTCCAGTTTTTGCTCAAATATGTGCTGGAGGATACAAAGTTTACTCCGAAACTTGTAATGCGGGGAACTAAGGTCATTTTGATGGAGATTGACAATGTGAGGTTTGTTGATTCACTTAGTTATTTCCCCATGCCTCTTGCTGCACTGCCCAAAGCCTTTGACTTGCCCCCGGAAAAGAAGAAAGGCTATTTCCCCCACCTCTTCAACACCCTTAAGAATCAAAATTATGTGGGCCCTATGCCGGAAAAAAAGTTTTACTGCCCAGAATCTATGTTTGAAAAATCACACAAAGATTTTGAAAACTGGTATAATGATCAGGTTGCAAACCACGTTACATTTGACTTTAAAAAAGAAATCCTAGAGTACTGTATGTCGGACGTTGATATCTTGGCCCAAGCTTGCTTAAAGTTCCGTTCAATTTTCCTGCAAGAGTGTAATGTTGACCCGTTTCTTGAAGCTGTAACCATTGCCAGTGCTTGTAACCTGGCCTTCCGTCGGAACTTTTTGAAGAAAAATACTATAGGCATCGTTCCTAAAAACGGCTATAGGCTTACAGACGCTCAGTCGGCTATTGCGTTACAGTGGCTATCGTGGGAAGAGGGCAAACGTGGAGTTAGAATTGAACACGCTGGCCGTGGAAAAGAAGTTAAGATCAATGGAATGAAAGTTGACGGGTTTGACGGTCAAAATATTTACGAATTTCAAGGATGCTACTTCCATGGCTGCCCTAAATGCTTTCCCTATGACCGTGAACTTGCTTTGAAAGAGGACCCCTCTGACTCACTCCATTTGCGATATGAACGGACTAAATCTAAAATAGCAAAGTTGGGTGATAACGTTGTACAAATGTGGGAATGTGAGTTTAGAAAGTTAAAAAAGACAGAAAACCTGAAACACCTAGAAAAGTTGCCGATCCTCAACAATTTACCTCTGAATCCGAGGCAAGCATTTTTTGGGGGCCGAACCGGGAATGCCAAAACCTATCACAAATGCGCCGAAGGGGAAACTATTGAGTACGTGGATGTATGCTCTCTCTATCCCTGGGTATGTAAATATGGCAAGTACCCTGTAGGCCATCCAACGATCTATGTAGGAGACAAAGAGTGTAGACAGAGAGGTCTCAATGTTGAGGGTCTATTAAAGTGTAAAGTACTTCCACCTCGTGAGCTCTATCACCCCGTTCTCCCAGCCAAAATGAATGACAAGTTAATGTTTGTTTTGTGCGCGACTTGTGGAGATGGTCAGATTCAAAGTGATTGCGACCACGAAAGTGGTGACAGAGCACTTATTGGGACCTGGACCATGGACGAAGTTCGTAAAGCTGTAGAAAAGGGTTATGTTGTGCTTGACATGTATGAACTTTGGGAGTATAAGGTGGCCACATATGAAAATGGGGGATTGTTCACTGATTTTATAAATAAATTTTTAAAAATGAAACAGGAAGCATCTGGGTACCCGGGTTGGTGTGAAACAGACGAGGACAAAAACAAGTACATTGACGACTATTTTAAGAAAGAGGGTGTCCAACTAGAAAAAGACAAAATTGTAAAAAATGGTGGCTTAAGGTCGTTAGCTAAGCTTATGTTGAACTCATTTTGGGGAAAATTTGGACAGCGTGAAAATCAGACCAAAGCTACGATTGTCAGGGACCCAAAAACACTTTTCAAAATGTTAACTAGCCCGGAAATTGATGTAAATAGAGTACAGATTGTCAATGATGAGGTTCTTGTTGTCAGCTGGGAGTACATTGAGGAGGTTGGGGAGCCATTGCAAAATGTTAATGTCGTGGTGGCTGCTTACACTACTGCCCAAGCGAGATTGAAGCTCTATGAGCATCTAGATGCCTTGGGTGGTCAAGTGTTGTATTATGATACTGATTCTGTATTGTATGTATACAAGGGTGGTTTGTACAGAGTTCCCACGGGAGATTATCTAGGGGAAATGACCGATGAGTTGGCCGAGTATGGACCAGGTTCATACATAACAGAGTTTGTATCTGGAGGGCCAAAAACCTATGCATACCTCGTGTGGTCAACAAACAAACAAAAATTGATTCCCGTTTGTAAAGTAAAAGGGCTTACATTAAATATGAAAACTTCTAAAAAGATTGGATTTGACAGTTTGAAAGAGATGGTCCTTGGTGATGCTGCACAAACAATGGACATTGAGGAAAATAGAATCAGACGAACAAAGGATAGGAATATAGTTACAATCAGTGAGGTCAAACAGTTTAAAATTACAGGGCCAAAAAGGAAACATGGTAGCAATTATGATACACTTCCATATGGGTTTAAAATTCAAAAAACTCACCAAGATCTCAACTCCTGAATCACTACTATCACTGTCACTCCACTCCCCCCAATCCCCAATATCCACCTCGTTCCACCCGTTCCACCCTCCCGGTCCCCAATTGACCCCAAATTCCGAGTCTGTGTCTGAATCGTTGTCTTCTTCACTCAAATTCAAAAATTCACAAACTCTGCGATATAAATAATGTTGAACAAAATCACTAACGACCAGCATCAGAGAGATCATGTTAAACACTGAACACATGTTGCACATGCTGCACATGTGTTGCGCTCCCCTCTCCACTATCACTACATACCTTTATGGTGGCATACTCTATGTTTCTTGGTGGTAACGGTGGTGGCCTGAGATCCAAGGGTCGAAGTTCTTCGTAGATTGGTTCCACCGGCCTAAGAAATACCACTCTTGTCTTGACGATAAATGGCGACGGCTCGTCGCGCTTGATGGAGAATATCCAGCCAAAACACGATGCGAAACACATGGTGGCTGGGATCCAACTGGAGTGGGGCTATTTTTGAATGTGTTTGTACATTGAGGCGCTCAAATCTGGAGGGACTTGAGCTACTCCTTGTACATGTGTGAATGATGGTCACTGGCGCGGCTGACTAAAAAGCCCGTAAACCATGTGTGAAGGTCACTGGCACGGCTGACTAAAAAGCCTCTAAACCATGTATGAAGGTCACTGGCGCGGCCGAAAGGCCCGTAAACCATGTGTGGAGGGGTGAGTGTCATTCCACTTGGAACCTTCTCGCCACCATGTTGTCCCTACTTGAGCTCTCAGCTAGAACAATTACTGATAACATGTTTCTTTTAAATGCTGTAAAGCAAGCAGCAATCCCACCTGTGATTAAAGATTACATATTCAATTACCACCATGAAAACTGTGGCTATGTCTACTACCATATTTGTTTTCTCGACAATGAAGAGTTTTGTAAGGATTGTGGAGAGGCAGCGAATATTTCTTTTCGACGGTTTGGAACAATTGTATGTGTACCAAAATTTAAGACTCCAAGAGATAGATGCACCATCTGTGCAGCACGTCTATACAACTGGACCAGATTGAGAAGATGTTCCTGTCTACAATCCTTGATCCCATCCTTGAGAAGGTGGTAAGAGAAATTTTGGGGAACGGAGACGGCAACTAGTTTGTTTTTGGAGGCCGTCACGAGCTGCGGCGGTGGAGGGGCCGCAGCTTTTCTGGGGGGCAAATAAAAAGACTATTCTATTTGGAACCTTCTTGCCATCATGTTGTCCTTGTCTGAGCTTTCAATTAGGGAAATTTGCACAAACGTTATCCTTTTCCCTTATGTAAAAGAAAGTGTTGATCTTCCATCAACGCTAAGGCAGGACATTTTGAACTGTCATAGAGAAAACTGTGGTTATGTAACCCTAAATTACTACGAGTCTTTTAGAGGCTCTAGTAGGTTATGTATTGACTGTGGAAGAATGGTTGATCTTCCTTCTCGCTTAAAGCGAAGAGGTAACTACATGTATCCAAAGTTTAAAGTCCCCAAAGAAACATGTCGCATTTGTATGAATCCGTTATTTATCTTCCATAAAGTCACTTGTAAATATTGTAAAAACTAAATGTTTGTAAAACAAAAAAAATAAACGGAGGTGGCAACTAGTTTGTTTTTGGAGGCCATCACGAGCTGCGGCGGTGGAGGGGCCGCAGCATTTATAAAAACTTAATAAATTATCAATACACTGTCAAGTTGTATCATTTTAACAATGGATGTCAGACGTGCTATAGCTGAAGAGCTACACAAACCTGCTAGAAAAAATTACACTAGACGGAAAGTGACTCTTAAAGGGTTGAATGATTTGTACCAGGCCGATCTCGTAGAGATGCAGCCTTATGCAAAGCTAAATAAAGGTAATCGGTATATCATGACTATGATCAATTGTTTTTCAAAACTCGGGTTTGCAGTCCCGTTAAAAGATAAGACAGGTCCGGCAGTTGCCAAGGCACTTGAACCTATTTTGATAAAACATAAGATGAAACACTTTCAAACCGATCAAGGAACCGAATGGTTTAATAAACATATTGGTGCTCTCATGAAAAAGTATAAAATTAACCATTATTCTACGTTTTCTGATTTAAAAGCTAGTATCGTGGAAAGATATAACAGAACTTTGAAACAGTGGATGTGGAAAGAGTTTACCACAAAGGGTACATATGAATGGTTGTCATTACTTCCTGATATTCTCAAACGATATAATAACTCGGTACATAAAACAATTGGTATGAAACCAAAAGATGTGAAACAAAAGAATGTAAAGGAAATATTAAAAAGGATAAACAAGAAGGGAAAAAGGGTGGCACCAAAATTTAAACTGGGGGATAGTGTTAGGATTAGCAAGTATAAAAGAGTTTTTACTAAAGGCTATCTGCCAAACTGGACAAACGAGGTTTTCACCATTTACGCCATCAAACCGACAAAACCAACTACATATGTACTCAAAGACCATAACGGTGAAATACTAAAGGGAGGGTTTTATGAACAGGAGCTAAATAAATCAAAGACCGGAGATGTATATTTAGTTGAAAGAGTGTTACAGCGGAAAGGAGATAAAATAAAAGTCAGATGGCTTGGCTTTGACAAGAGAAGCGACACGTGGCTTAGTAAAAGCGACATTCTTATTTAGAGCATCCGGTGACGGTTACGTGTAGATCAAGCAGCTGCATCCGGGCGTATTTATAAACGATAGGGTGAGTGTGATACATCAGTTGAACACGATGCGTGTGGCGCAGCAGAGTCCCCCTTTGACGGTAAAAAACTATGACGAGTATCTCGGCGAGGGTCTGGCATCTAAAAATAAACATGGCCATCTGCTACCAGACTCAATTCGCGGCATCCTTTCAGGCCCCAGCAACTCGGGTAAAACAAATGTTGTGTTTAATTTATTATTCGATCCAAACGGTCTTGTTTTTGAAAATATCTACATTTTCTGTAAATCCCTGAATCAGCCCAAATACCAGTTCTTACCATTGGCTCTACCTAAGGAAATTGGTTATTTTGCATATGGTGACAACAACTTGGTAGTTCATCCAAATAAGGCTAAACAACATTCAATAATGATATTTGACGATATATCCTGTGAGAAACACAACAACATTACAAACTATTTCACTATGGGTAGGCATAACAATATTGACACCTTTTATTTGGGTCAGACGTATAGTGCTATACCAAAGCAGCTTATTAGAGACAACGCAAACCTTTTAATACTATTCAAACAGGATGATATGAATTTACGACATGTATATAGCGACCATGTCACTACCGACATGCCATTTGATAAATTCAAACAGTTGTGTTCACTGGCGTGGAAAGACAATCATGGGTTCTTAGTTATCGACAAGACTCGGGACACTAATAAAGGAAGATACCGTATAGGATTTGACAGTTTCATTGAGGAGTTATAATGGTTAACATCTACACCTACAACGACCTTAGAGGTTACGATACCAAACTTCATAATGTTAAATCTAATCTTTGCACATATTACTATTCCGATAAGAAAAAGTTTTGTGGAAACTACTGTAGCAGAAAAGGACGTCATGGTCACAAGTACAATAGGCGGTGTTGGAGACATAAAGTGCCAAAACAGAGCGCTGTACTACCCCCGGTTATCTTGTTAATGATATCTGCGAGTGAACGTACATACAACCGTGAAATTTGGATTAGATTTTTGGAAAAATGCGAAGAAAAGAAAGTTCCACTTGAACTGGTGGTCTATCACGAAGATATGAACAACTGCACAGTTAGAGAGTCCCATAATATTATTTCGAGATTTAGACCGTTTCCGGATATTTTTGGTAAGGTTTTACCATTGCGCAACCTTCATGGTAGCATAAACTTTACCCAGATTTACCTCCGAATGCTCGAATACGGTTGCAATATTCCCCACGCAGCAAGATGTATAGTATTGACTGAACGGACTCTACCAATAAGATCACCTCTGACGATTTATAAAACTGCGATGGCTTCGAAATGCCATATCGATGTGAGTTATAATGTAGCATATGGTCCGGTACCTCCGGGATTACCGAGATCTCGTGGTAAACCTTATGCTGGGGTAAACAACTTGTGCCAAGGACTGTTTACAACAGAATTTCTAAAGGCTGCGTTGCCAACTTTACAACAATATAGCGAAAGTTTTGGAATAAGTTTCAATAACGGTGTGTATACGATAACTGATCGTCAACTGTTTGACCAATGGCGTGAGTTCACTGGAGCGAATCCAAGTGAATTTTGGTTATTAAACTCGTTTCTGTTACACCACAATGAGATGAAGCGTCCAATGTCTTTTTTGCAGAGGTATATGGAAAAAAGTGACGTTAGTGAGCGGTATACCGTAGCGGAAATACCACAATGGAGAGATAATTGGAAAAGAACGTTTGTTTTTCGGAATTGGTCAAAAAGGTACACTATTCCGCAATTTGATCTGGTGACAAAAAGATACTACCGAGATATAGATATTACCTCGGGCATATCTTTGAAAGAAGTGGTGCACTACCTACGTAAACATAAGAAACGTGCACTATTTTTTCGGCAGATTGAATTGCCTTAAGAGGCTAGCTGTGGTGTTTCAGGCTCATTATCAAAGATGACGCGGAAGAATAAACATCTCACTCTGCAAATAGCAGAGTTGAAAGAAGCAGTTAGGCGCAAATTTAGACAGTTTAAAGATGGTAGTGTGGAGAGTGAAAAACTGTTGGAACAGCAATACAAACCGTTAATTAGAGAACTAAAAAAAGCCGAACCAAAACAGATGTTAAAATTGAACAGCTTTCTAAAGAAGAGCCAATGGACTATGAGAGTGATGACGATGATTACATTGGACAACCGTTTAAACCAGAAGCCATATCAACACCTAGAGCTGAAACTAGTCAATTGGAAGAGGTTGTTTCGTCTCCATTAGGCTTTCAAACAGCATCTAAGTACATTGAAGAGCAGTTTGAGAACCCGTTAACTAGAAAATATATGACCCAGTTTATACGAGACGCTGGTGGAAAACATAGAACTATTGACCACGACTATGGTCCAAGGTTTGATGAAAGAGGAAAAAGTTTAATGATTGGAAACAAGGTGATGGAATTTGACACTGACGGTACCATTATTGTTAACAACACGAGATACCCACCTTCCGAGGGGCTCTATGAGCTTATATTTAAAAGACTGCCAAACAGCGATGTGTATGCAGAGGGCGATATAAATGCTTATAAAAGTATATTGATTGCGTCAAATGCTCACAAAAAGGGTTATAATTTTGACAATCAAATTAGACGTGATAGTAGTTTGAAATACAGACACGTGATCAAGGATCTGTTTCCCGTCAGACAGGGTAGAGGAATGTCGTGGAAAAGTACAAAGTCTCGCGATATAGTGCATTGGGATAATCCCAACGAGTTGGTCGATAGACTAAAACTGTTGGTAGCATCAGCTGAAACGGGAAATACTTCACACGGTAACGAGATTGTAAACATTGTAGAGGAACTGCACGAAGCAGGATACATAAAAGGTAGCGGAAACAGTCGATACAAGTCAGTCTCACGATGGGCATAGACAAGTTTGGACGTTATACTAAGAAGGAGAAGGGTCTTGTTGGACCCAAAGGCGAAGGCTTTGCATTATCACAGGATGGTAGCTACGATATGCAAGGTAAACGTCTGTGCAATGTCGACGATCCAAAAGACAATCTTGATGCGATGAATTTCAGATCGCATGCGAATTCACTTTTAAACTGTATGACACTGCAAAGTGGTCATTTTGATGCTCAAAACACACGTGTATGTAACATAGCTGATCCAATTGATGTTAAAGATGCGGTAACAAAACAATATATGGATCTTCATACCCCACTAAAGTTCTCTGACGCCACCGCATACTCGATACACCATTACCGGCTGCAAGATGTTGCTCCACCAAAGGCGGATGGAGATGCCGTTAACCTATCATTTCTCAAGGAAAACACTATAACACGAGGTGCGGGGTCTTTTGATGCAAAACAGTTGGTCATACAGAATGTTGCCTCCCCAGTTGCCAACAAAGACGCTGTAAATCTCGAGTATTTCAATAAAAACACGTTGCAAAAAAATAAAAATGGAGCTTTTGATGTTAAAAATACAGTTATTCAG